GCATTTAATTTGAATAATGTCCAGTGACGATGAACATTTACTTGAATAATGATCACTGCATAATCACTAGTGATACTAATTCCGAAATAAAATCATATGTTACTTTATTGAAACCAATCACATTTTTTCTAACTGGAAAACAAGAGGAATTGAAGGAGAGATCAGGCGAAGAAACCGAAGCCAGGGCTCTCTTCCCGTTTTCTTGCTGTCTCCGCCCCACCGCTTCTCCTTTTTTTCTACTCCGTAATAAATTAATCTCTCCCTCTCTCCTCTCTCTGTATACGTACTTTTTTTGCATCTCTAGAGCGAGAATCTGCCTTCCGTTTTCGCATTTCTCGCTGATTCATCAAGACCAGGAAGAACGAAGAAGATCAGCCCCGATCTGGGACGAGATGGCCGGTATTGTTCAAGGTATTGGGGCCGTCACTTCCGTCTATTCGGCCAATTCTTTCCACTCGAAGAAGTCACCCATTTTTACCGGCAGATCATTCTCTGGTATGGAATTCCTTCGATTTTCTCGCATTCCAGATGTGGCTTTTTGTTCGAATTTTGGCATATGCAGTTAATTTTTATTCTTGGTTATTCCCATAGCTTGCATTGGCTTGAAAAGATTCTGTCTTTTTTTTTGTTTAGCCAATTCAATTAAAATCTAGCAGTTTTTGTGTTTGTATTGTCTTCCATTTACGCATTCTGTTGTATTTTTTATTGTTCCAGAGGAGAGGAAAGGCCGCAGCTCTTTTGTGGCAAGCTCTGGACAAAAAATCAGCTGTGATCTGAGGAGTAATGGCAAGAGAGCTCAACAGTTAATTACCAATGCCGTAGCGGTTGGGGTTCTGTTTTTTCATTATATGAATAATGATATAAGTTTTCTGCTTTAATTAATCCTCAGCAATTTTGTTATTTAATTGTAATTTTTGTTCCTATTGTAGGCAAAGCAGGATAATGCAGCGTCTTCGACTTCATCCAAGCCGGGGTATCTTTCACTTCTATTTCGTATGGTGGATTTATCTTGTGTTTATCTGTCTTTCTTTATTTTTGCCTATTACTTATAAAGTGATGAACCAATTTTCTTTTCTGTGACTCTGAAGAAAAGTCTGGTAATTTTTTTGATATAAAGTGCCTATGAATGGAATGGTGTTTGATAGTGTTGCCGCGGAATTGTTTTGAAATAATTATGTGTTACAGAGTAATATTATTTCTCAAAAGATGTGGCTTTATAGCATCTCTTGATTGTAGGTGTAAGTTGTTTTAGAACAGTAGCTCTTAGGTTACAACATTTTTAATTTGCCGCATCCATATCAAACATGACTTGCTTATTTTGCTGAAATAAAGGTTATCAAACACTTTCCCTTTTAGAAAATTATCAGTCAAATAAAGAAATCACCCTAAATAGGACTAAAACATAGAGAGTACCAAAATAAGAGTTCCATTTTTTATTCCCTAAATAGGAGTTTGCATTGTGGTAATATAACACTGTACATATGCATTTTACTTAATGTACATGGTCATGATTGGTAATGTAGATGCATTTTAACTTCTATTTTGGAAGTAAAAACATGGAAATCCTATTTTGGTATATTTTCAATATTTTACTTCTATTTTTGTTTTTTCCCAGTGGAGTACTCTTTCCAAATATCATCTTTTAATTTTGACAATTGAAGGAAACCTGTAAAGTGCTTCTGTACCATAGAATTGATATGAATCCTGTTATTTTGTTTTGGTTGATTTGTTTAAACCACCCAAGTTAATGCAAAATATGAATTTTGTAGCCATGAACTTTTGCTGTTTGAAGCCCTATGTGAAGGGCTTGATGAAGAGATGGCAAGAGATCCAAGTGTTTGTGTAATGGGTGAGGATGTAGGCCACTATGGGGGTTCCTACAAGGTCACCAAAGGCATGGCCGAAAAGTATGGCGATCTAAGGGTCCTCGACACCCCTATTGCCGAGAACGGGTTCACGGGACTCGGCATCGGAGCAGCCATGACCGGTCTCCGTCCCGTCATCGAGGGAATGAACATGGGATTTCTCCTCCTTGCCTTCAACCAAATTTCCAACAACTGTGGAATGCTCCATTACACATCCGGCGGTCAATTCAAGATACCCGTTGTCATCCGGGGACCCGGTGGGGTGGGGAGGCAGCTAGGTGCAGAACACTCCCAGCGACTCGAGTCGTATTTCCAGTCCATACCCGGCATCCAAATGGTGGCATGCTCCACCCCTTACAATGCCAAGGGGCTCATGAAGGCTGCCATTAGAAGCGACAACCCAGTGATCCTGTTCGAGCATGTCTTGCTCTACAACCTTAAAGAGAGAATCCCGGACGAGGAATATGTTCTGAATCTTGAAGAAGCTGAGATGGTGAGGCCAGGGGAACATGTCACAATCCTGACATATTCTAGGATGAGGTACCATGTCATGCAGGCTGTCAAGGTTCTTGTGAACAAAGGGTACGACCCCGAGGTTATAGACATTAGGTCTCTGAAACCATTTGATCTCTACACAATTGGGAACTCGGTCAAGAAGACGCACCGGGTCATCATTGTGGAAGAGTGCATGAGGACAGGTGGGATTGGGGCCAGCTTGACAGCTGCCATAACTGAGAATTTCAATGACTACTTGGACGCCCCAATCGTGTGTTTGTCTTCACAAGATGTGCCAACTCCGTATGCCGGCGTGTTGGAGAATTTCACCATCGTCCAGCCCGCGCAGATTGTCACTGCGGTCGAACAGATTTGTCAGTGATATATTTCTTGTGCTGAGTAATAATAATGGGGTTTCTTTCTTTTGATTTTTTTTTTGTTTCTCTTTTGTTCCCATGTATTTTAGTTTTGCTCAGTTTGTGCTTTGAAATCATATATGACTGTTGTTTTTGATGTTTGAAAATGTTTCTGTTTGGGATTTGGTGACTAAAACATCATGAGTTATCAATGTCCTCTAAATAATTTATTAGAATATAATCATTCACTTGTTTGTTTTTGGGTATGCCTCAAAAATCTTCTGAGAGCTTAGTGAAGACACTTTTGGATTGCTCGAATGTTGTTGAGACATGGATTTTGAAGTCTTATAATACCTCAAAATTTCTCAGAATCCCAAGTTAAAGCTAGGAAATTGACATATGGTTAAGCATCTAAAATTTCAAAAACAAAAAAAAAACAAAAAAAACGTGGTAAAATACATATACATAGAGCTGGCAAAATTGTCGGTCGGGTTCGGGTTCGGGTTCGGTCACTTCGAGTTCGGGTTATTTTGGGTTCGGGTTGAAAATAGTATGCTCATGACCCAGTGTCATCGGGTTTGGGTCAACCCAAAGGGTTATGACTTTGATTTTTTAAATTTTAAAATTCATATTAACACTTACTTTTTCTATTAAATAAATTTAAAATATCAAAAAATATGTGTTAAATCTATTAGATTATTCTATTTTAAATCCTGAAAATATTTTTAGATATACAAATCAATATGAGGAATTTAAAAAATGCTTAAGTTTTTTTAAAAAGGTAAGATAATTATGCAATATCATTAAAATTTTGTCAGAAAATATAAATTTATACATTAAAAACGAGTAGCCTTCCTCCACCCAACTTATATACTCCGGAGTAGTTTTATTTTAAATTGGTCCAAACGTGGGGTTTTGGAGACGAACTCAAATTATTCTGCTCAAATTATTAGTATTGTTTTTTTGACAAACTCATTGTACCCAAGTATGGGTACTATGATGGAATGTTTTTCATCAGCAAAGTTATAGTCGAATCTTATGTGTGCGGCATTTTACTAGGTTTGATATTATTGTCTTAATAGTAAGTGTATACTCCTTTCATCTCAATTTAATTGTTTATTTCTTATCCTATCTTTTGTTTCATTCTTCCAATTTGATTTTTATAAGTCGACAACTCAACCTCAATTGAACAAAATTTGTACTCGGTAATATATAATACTCCATAATACGGAGTATAAAAATATATTTATTAAATTTATCTTATTAAGAACTTTCAAAATTTTATTCTATTGTGTTAATCTACAATACAAATTGAGAGTAATTAATTATTAAATATCATCTAATTTGACTTTAAAAAGTCAAACTTAACAAATATACTGGAATGGAAAGAGTATTCATTAAAGAAAATATGATAAATAAACTAAAATATCCTAGAGATGCAATATATAAGCATTGTTGACATGAGTGAATCATGAACTCATTTGAAGGACTTGTTTGATAATTTAAATAATTTTCTTAAAAAATAAGAATTCTAAGAATGGTGGGATTCTAGTGACATCGGTGACACTCATGTGGGAGGCTTACGGAGGGGTTGGGGTGGGGATGCAGGGGCGAGGATAAGGTGGGGGTTTAGGGGGTAGATTAGGGGATAGGAACTGTCAATTTTATGAACGGAGCACCAGAGATACTCCAAAAATACAGTGGCACCGCTAGTGTCACCAAACGTGAGTGTCACTTGAACCTCACAGTTCTTAGAAAGTGAACTATTAGTTCCGGACGCAAGGGAGTAATTCAAGTTCCAATCAAATGAAGATCCAACAGTCCCATTGCTAAAACCCAAGCCGCTTAAAATCATGAAACATTCTTCTCGTTTCTATTCACAAAGTTTGACCGACTTTATTTTCAATTCAATATATTTGACTGTAAGTGTAAAATTATACAATAAAACTTATATATTTAAAAACTACATCAAAAGTTATATAAAACAAGAGGTGACAAGAATACATTATTTTATCAAATAACTAACAAAAATAGGTAAAGTGATAATGTTTGACTGTCTGAATAGTAACTGGGAAGAACGTTTTAAAACAGAGGGAGTACTACTTTCATCATATAAAATTCTTAAGATTATCTTTTTTGGACGTTCTAAAATAAAATAAAAAACTTTACACTTAGTTCCCTGTTTTGGGAATGAATATATGGCTACCAACAATTCTCTCTCTCCTCCGAACAAATTCTAACCACGCTTTTTACTTTTGAACAACTTTCTTAAACTTCGTGAAGTCAAAATGTCAAAAATTTAATGGGACGGAGAGTAATAGATGAGGTGAAGACAAACTATGATGAACTAAAACCAAAACAGAGTATGTCTGAACATGCTCCTTAAACTGTGCCTCCTAGAATGAATGATGGATAGCCTTATTATTGTTATCATTACAGGTCTATAAACACAAAACTGAAATGTTGGATAGCTCATGTAATTCCTGATCAACAACAAAAACAAAAATGTTTTTTTACCATGTACTGATTGTACTCTGTGAACTATCATAATTGGCCTGACTGACCTCCAAAGGCAGAACAAGAAACATTATAAGAGATCTCTTTGTTTACGATCAAATATGAATGAACAGATTTCCATCAGCTGAAGATCAAGTGCACGTAGAGCACAGCTTCCATTTGGTATACCCATCATTGCATTGCTGTTTGGAAACAAACATGAAAAGAAAAAAAATCAAAGGGTGCGTTTTTAGTTTCCATCGAAGATTAAGAAAGTTGATTGGCAAACAAATGCATCAGTTCTTGTCTACTACTCCGTATTTCAGAACTCAAAACTTTGTTTGGCACGACAAAAGCGAAGCTACTTGCTACCCATCATAGCTTTTTTCAGATAAAATGTTTTTCAACTGTACATCTGTACCATGTTTGGTTAGAGAGCCTATTTAATAAGCTTGGGCCTCTTTTAGTTGCTTTTCATATTCACTTTATGAGTTATTCTCTCTTGTTTTGCCAAACATGGCCTTATGAATCTAGTGGGATGTACCTTTTTCCTAAGTTTTACCGAAAGAAACAAGGATCTATGATGGAATCCTGTGTGCTTCCTGGGGAATAATCAACTCTGCATAATCATCGACAGTCACCTGTAGATAGAACCCAGTGCGCGTTAAATCGTTAATGATCAACAAATTCTGTAAGTTAGAGGATCAGTGAAATATAAAACAGAATACTTGGATACCTCAAATTTAGAGCCGTGAAACATGTACTCCACATACAACTGCTTTGGCTCATCAGGACAAGGATCGCAAAAACCCATTATTCCAGATTTCTTCACGCCCTCATGTAGCTGCATAGATGTCTGCTTAGTTAGAAGATAATGGAAAAAATTGAAAATGTCTAAGGCTCTATTTAGTTCTAGGAAGATGTTTCCAAGATTTTCCTACTTTTGAGTTTTGACACCAGAAAATAATTTCTTGATTAATAATTCAATGAAATTTTGGGGGAAATAACATCTTAGAAATCTTATTCATCTTTTATGTTTTTGTGGGATAACATTATACCCTGATACACCATATAAAGAACAACTTATTTTCCACGAAAGGTATACTCAACAACACATTTTACTCAAAAACAACCACTAGTTTCAAAAACACAATAAAATCCACTAGTTTACGAATCACGAAAATGTACTAACCCACGATAATTTTGATATTTTAGGCATAGGAGAAGAGAAGGCAAACCTTTAGCTGTCCAGAGTCATTCACCAGAAAATTCATAGGCAGAGTCACATCCAAGATCTGTGAAACTCCATCATCTCCATTTTCTTCAGTGTGTTTCCTTCGACTGCCCAGTGCTTTGCAACTCCCATAGACTGCATGTGTCACAACTAGACCATCTGTTTCTAGCTGTCTATTTCTTTTTCTATTTGCTACAGTCTCTAATAATTGTTGAGCTTTCTTAGCTGCAGCCTTTGCCTCTCGAATCTATTCATAATGTGAAAACAAATCAAACAGGAGTGATGACTTAGTAACGGGCTTGTTTGATAACTTTCATGTTCTAAGTTTTTGGTTTTTTGTCAAAACTTTGTCTTTGTTTTCTTTTTTATCTTAGAGATATTTAAAGCATGAAATCTTTTTGGGAACTCTTGTATGTTAATATAGGAGACCCTAGATTTTTGGGTAGGCTTGTATGTTGATAAAGCATGAAACATTTTTTAGGGGGGGTGTAAATGTAAATAATAGAAATAAAACCCAAGTGAGTACAGAGTTTCGGGGCATACACCTATCAAAAAACAAAATCAAGGGCAAAATCAGGGCCCAACAACAAAATCAAAACCCAAAGAGAAGGGCTAAATAAATGCTCCCTAGCAATGGTAACGATCAATTTTTTACGTCGGCCTGCAAACAACTTTGTCAAATACTCTTGTTCGAGAGTTAGAGGGGAAAACCCCATGGTTGTGCTAGCAGCGTTCTGCTCAGGCGTGGGTACAAGAGATGCGGCTAGGCAAGCTGTGTTAATCTGTAGGGAAACCTTAGGCAATGAAGCCTTACTAACGCGGTGGGGGGGGGGATCTCTTGCTCCCAAACCAGTGTGAACATTGCTCAACTTCCAAACCAGCATGAAGATTGCACCCAGAGGTAGTAGCAATAAGATTCCTCGTATGCATGCTCGGCGTCACAGATGGTTGGTTGCTCATAACAGTCTGTGGTTCATGACAAGGTTGTGTCCCCGTGATTATCTCTGCGCTGGCCGCTGGGATCCAACTGGCAACACCACAGCCAAGTCTTTGGGTTGCTTCCTACATTTGGATGATTTTCCACCTGTATAAGCAGTGTTGGCAGTACTTGGCAGAAACAGCTTCCTTGGTTTCTGGCCTTTCCAAAGTTTTACGTTGTTTGTCCTTAGAACGTTGCCCACTATGACCTGGTACAATGCTGGTCTTTTCCCTGTGGATTGCTTGAAGGATTTTGCAGTCAGATGAATTGTGTCCAAACTTTTTGCAATGAAGCAATGATTTGGCAGGCTTTCGTACACAACTTGCTGGATATAACTCCTGCCCTCAAACTGAACTTTGAAAGACGTAATGAGCTCCTTTGACAGATAGATGTTGATTAACATCCGACAAATTCCAATCCTGGCTCTTTCCTTGGTGACAAGGTCCGTACACAAAAAGGAGTTCCCAGCTTAGATCCTAAGTGGTCCAGAGCCAACTACTCCATAATTGCAATGGAACATAAAGGAATTCCAGCCCAGCTTCCACATTAGGATGTGTATTGTATGCTCCTTGCAATGCCATCATAAGTGACATAATTCCTATTGCCGTTTTCAAATTTCTAACGCTACTAGTTTACTAACACCACCTGTTAGCCTACTAATATCACAACATTCAACTATATATTTATTATACGTATGTGATTTTATAAGAACTCTAAATAATGTATAAACCATATCAAGATCTCATAAATAATGCATAATAGGCTTTATCTAAATCAGATACATCTTCTCAAAAATGAAATTCAGAATATCCTTTTTGTCAAAAATGTTCAATTGTTCATAAAATCTCTTTTGGTTTTCAGAAAATGAAAACAAAAAATAACTGCAAAAAGCATTTTTTGTTTTTGTTTACAGAGAAGAAAAAAAACAATAGACACCTTAACATCTGGAAACTCATTGACAGAATCAAAGGAAGTGCCCAGCGGGAAACGTAGGTAAAAGCAGTCGAATAAATGATGCAATTGGCTGATACTTTGATAGTGAAATAGAATTCAGCAGAGTCAGTAACTAAAGGACATAATGCAGAAATGAAACTTGAAGCAATACTATGGTAACTAATCACTAATAACCCGACTTAAAAAAAATTACTAATAACCCCGTAGACCATAGTTTGTAAGGCGGCAAGGCGAGGCAAGGCGCCAATGTACCTTCATATCGCCTAGGTGACGCCTTGCAAACTATGCCGTAGACCCCAACGAAGTAGGGATTATATTGAGTTGTTTCTGGTGGTGGTGTATTAAATTACTCTAAACAATCCCACAAATAAACTGTGGGGGTATAAATGACCATTCATAAATTGTAAAATCTTGTGCCTTGAATGAATTGACTAAAAATAAAAGTTGTATTTTACTCAAACAAGACACTTTTTTTGGGACAAAGAGAGTAACATTTACCTTGGTAAAAGTTTTTTCAGCATTCTCTAATGCCTTCATCTTTTCCCTTTTAAGATAATAAGGTTTCATGACATACTTCTGCAAATGTTAAGCAAGTTCTGGAATTATATAGTGATATATACTTCACACACAGTTCATGACTTCGTAATACAGACAACTCAAGAGCCACAAAAATCATGATGTACACAAGTGAAAACTGACAACCCATAGATCCAACATCTCAATATCACAGGACTCCAGCACTTATTAATGAAAATTAAGAATTTTAATTTGTATACTGTAAAATGAAAGTGTTAGCATCTAAAAATAGAAAACAAGACAAGCAAAGACAAATGGTAAGAATGGTTATCAGCATCACTAGACCATAAGTCCAACTTGTTTAGTTAGTACAGAGAGTGGGCTGCATGGACCTCAATAATCATCAAAAGAATGGAAGGCATATTGTTTTCATAGAGTTACAAACTATAATAGGATCTAGACAACCAAAAGTTCAAACAGGTTAAGGGATTTGAAGAAATGCAAACCTTGACTATAAAATAAATTGATGCAGGAATGACAAAGGCCCCAGTTGCAAATAAAGGGCTCAAATGCGTGGAAAGCAATATCTGCATTCAATCACATTAGAGTTTCAGAACCAAATCAAACCGTAAAGATACAATAAAATGTAAAGTACTAATTGTTTCTCTTTGTGACACTCAAATCGGCATGGTTTCACTTTGAAATCATGTTAAGGTGCGAAGGCACAAAAAGGGAAGTAGCATTTGCATAATAAATATTTCAAGGGGAGGCCAGTGTGATTTGCAGAATATAGGAGCTGCAAGTCATGCATAAAGACGATAATATACAGAATATTGGTTAAGAGTTTCTGCAAGACAACAAAAAACAAAAGTTATAAGCTTACAGGCACTATCAACTTTTGGCCTCCACGGTGTAATTCAAATTTCCAAAAGATACCCTAGCAACAGTAAAGAAGAAACATTGTTAGAAACTGCCAATTTTAAACAAATCTAAATCAAGCCCAAGTCCGTTCAACCCCTTTCTCGAAAAGAGGGGAGAGAAAAAATTAACAAGCTTCTCAGATTTCCTCATCTGAAAATTTGAAATAGCACAACTTTGATAGTTGCAGGTGCCTTCCCTTCCTGCCCTTGTCTGCGGGGTACTTCCAGAACGGGAGAATTGTGATGTGAAAGATGTTTCTTCACATACATGACACATTTTACATACCTGAACTCCAATGGTATAAAGCATATGGACAGTGCTAAACTCTGAAATTTTTCTTCCACCTCCGACTTCAAGTTGAAGTTCAGTACTGCAAAATGAAAGAGCCAGTTGGAAAGTATTGTACTTCCCCATGATCTCATCCCATAAAAAGATTACACATTCCCACGTAGAGGTGTGAATCAAATTTTGCTTGTTTTGAAAAATCCTAAGACCGAAGTATTGACTTGCACTGCCAGTTACCACGACAAGTCACATACTTGCATGGGGTCACATATCAGGGGTATTTTTTAACACGATTGTTCAACCAAAGATACATTATAAGGCAATTTTGTAAATTACATTCTTGTCTAGTAGGATATATGTTCTTTGAAAGACACGAACCAAGCAAGCAAAAAAACCCCATCAAAATAAATCTCTAAGAAACATTATGAAAATAGATATCACACAGCAAACCTTCCAAATACTCCAGCAATGCGTCCATGAGATTTTGATGAGAAGTGGTGAGTATAATGAGCAGATGCGGCAAAGGACCCTGTTCCAACCTGCATCATATTAAAAGATAATTACAAGGAAGAAACAATAGGCTTTGGAGAGACATCAAATGGTGTGAGCAGTATATGTATACACTGCATGTTTATCTTAACTTAAGAAATGCAGGAAGTAGAGCAAAACAACAATTGTTAAATAAGGGCTGTGATCAGATAAGGCACTGACTTCAAGAGAGAGAGAGAGAGAGAGAGAGAGAATGTGTGTGTTGGGGGGGGGGGACTCTTTAGTCAAAGAAGAGATGGATGTTCATACTAATCGGGCAGCATCTAAACTTTTCACACGTTAAAATAGTTTCACTTCTTAGTTCTTATTTTACATCACATAGTGTTCCTGAAAACAGATTAATAAAATCATTTATGTTTTAGCATTAAAATTACTGTAGATACATAGCTAGATTCTTGTGTAACTAATCTTGTTCAAAGTTGTTGCATTGTAATTATAATGTTCTTAAGGAACTACGGAGTTGTATAGTTACTACTCTGGTAATTACATAGCAAGTAATTACACTACATTATCCAAACACACTATTGATGGGTAATGAATTTGATTTTTTCATTATAATAATAATAATAGTAATAATAATGATGATGATGATGATAATAATAATAATAATATGTGCAGCTTGAGCCGGGGGTCTCTTGGAAACCGACTCTCACACCGTCCCTATACCCTACTTTTGTGGGACCCAACTAAGTTGATGTTGTGTTTTTATTTACTCCTTCATTCACAAAGTGTCAAACTTTGAAAGAACAAATAATTAGGGAACGCCATTTACTATTTGTTTGTCTCTAATCAATTTGAAGCTTGTGCTTTTATAATTGGGATAATTTTTCATTGGCTATAAATCAGTGATAATTGTTAGAACATGCACTACACATTACTATGTTGCAATAAATAAGAATATATGGAGTAATTCCTATGTAATTAATGTAAATAGACATGTATTACGGGGCATACAAATTTTAAAATTTTGACACTTATTTATGGAGGTAGTATACTTTTTTTTATTAATTTTTCCCCAATTCAGTTAAATCCAGTTGAGTTACTCAGTTGTCAATTAAAACAACAACTAACTCTTAGTTCAGTTTAGTTAAGTTCAATTAAGTCAAGTTTAGTAAATTCTAGTAGAAAAGAGTTGATTCGTGGCCATACAAACAAGATCAAGTGAGTACTTCAATGCAATAAGGCCAATAACATCAAATCACAACTACACATGATGTATCCAAACGGACTCCAAATTCCAACTTGGTGTAAGGAGCTACTCTCGTTGTCCCCTGTTTAATGTAACTCTTTTTGTTCTTTGAGTCATCCTGTTAGAGTGTCATCCCACATCGGAAGTTCAAGAGCAAAATAATCAGTATATAAGCTCTTGAGTTGAACTAACTAATCGATTGGATTCAATCGTTTAATGTGGTTCAACCCAAGTGTCGCACTGCCCAATCCAGTAGTCCATACCCCATCCTAAATTCTATCATGGTATCAGAGCAGGTTTTGGCCCACCACGTTTGTCAAGGTGTCCGTCTAGACGTTCATTCCTAGCGGCCCGTTTGTCTTTAGCCCAGTTGTCCGTATGGAGTATGTACCCAACGGCCTGTGGCCCGTTTAACACGATTGCTCGTCTGGAAGTCTATACCCAGCAGCTCGTGGTCCTTTAAGTGTTGGCGCTCAAAAAAAAATCAAGGGAATGGGAGTTTATTTGCAAGTGGTCAACCAGTTAGATTCAAAATGGCCCGATTATCCACTTGAGGGGGAGTGTTAGAGTGTCATCCCACATCGGAAGTTCAAGAGCAAAATACCCCATCCTAAATTCTATCACATCCCAAATAGGGTTGTTCAAGTTTAGGTCCGGACCGAAAAACCTGACCGAACCAGACCCTTAGGTCCGGACCGAACCCGGACCGAATATATTTAGGGTTGGTCTTCGGTCTTGATTATTTGAGTTTTCGGGTTTCGGTCCGGTCCGGTCCAAACCCAATATTATTTCAGTCACGACCAAATGGACCGACTACTTACGTCAGTTACTCTGTATGTGTTATCCATCCAAGTAGCAAACTCACCCTCATGCCTCACCTCAACCATTCATTTGTTATCCCTTCGCCATTCATTTGTTATCCATTCATTCTCCTCTTCTCTTTCTTCTACAATGCGGGAGAGCATGAAATCGGAAGGGGAAGAGCTCCTCTTTGATGCGAACAGCCCAGGGAGCGAGAGAAAGGAGAGTTCGAGGATGATGGAGGTGGTGCCGGCACTAAGTCTTGAACCCTAGCCCTCAGATCTCGTTTTCGTTTCTGGGAGTATATTTCATTGCCAAAACACGAAAATCTTTTGTGTAATGGTATTTAGTTAGTATAATCTTCAAATCTTAATTAATATTCAAATTTTTCCTTAATTTGTTCTTGCTGGATATTTGATACTCCGTATTTGTGACTATTTCAATTAGCATTGATGTTTTAGCTTTTAACATCAGTGTGAATGTGTTATGTGCTCAAGATACGGTCCAATTGTTTTGTGGAGCTCATTTGATTGCTATTTTTAAGAAGTTGCAAAAACATCTCTTCCAGCGTCTAGAACAGTGTTCTTATTCTCCCCCTACGTTTTGGCTTTACCTATTTTCTTCTTTGCAAAGTTACTTCGGTCTTTTCAGTCCAAATCGGTTTAGTCCAAGATATTTCGATCCGGTTCGGTCTAAAACCGATTAATAATATGTCCGGTCTTCGGTCCTACTTTATTCTTATTTCGGTCTTCGGTCTGATTTGGTCCGGTCCGCTCCGGTTCTGGAATCTTCCTCTCTTGCTTCTTAGGGAAATTGGGTTGTCCTTGATTAATCTTCCCCTTTTCTTTTAAGGAAAAAATTGTGTGGTCCTATTTGATTATTTCATTGTTAAATAAATCACAACTGTGCAAAAATACAAATGGGAACATTAAGGAAAGTTTAATTTCCCAAGACATGGAAATTATTAAAAGAAATAATAAAAAAAGACCTTGATCTCTCCAGCAGCAGATAATTTTTGTTCTTTTTTCTTCCATCCAACCGATACAGAGGACTCCGAGCCCAAAGAAAGCTGAATCTGAAAGGTAGAGAAGTTATGAATATTAGTGTCAAGGAACCAACTCAACCAAAACCTCAAGTTTGAGGTTGTAGGCTTAGAAGGGTTTTTATATTCTAACAAGCAACAGAAACTTAGCAACAAAACAAGAACAACCCCAAAAAACTGTCATTGATTATATATGTTTTGGTATTGAAAAATAATCCCAGCAACTAGAGTATCAATGTGACAGAGACGAAGGGGTAACTCCCTCCACCAAGTAAATTTCTTCTCATTTTCACTTGGTATGGTTTTTAATGTAAAATGAAAAATCCTCGAGTTTTCAAAGTTGCCCTTAACAAAAAGAAAGTTCAAGAGAATAACAAAAAAAAGGGGTTGCGGCACTTTTCTGCTCCAAATCTGTGAAGCTCCCGAAAAAGAACAAAAATAAACCTCCCAAATGAAGCTCAAGTGTAATCTCTGTGGTGCTGCCTTTTCCGCTTCGAAGTATCCGACGGTGCACTGATCAAAGTTGATGACACAGGTTTCTTTTTGTGGGTTCGCCAGATTTCGCCCTCTTCAAGCGCCGGTGGTTCTGCTACAGATCTAATCCTTTGCCGCCTAGATCCCGTCCTCTTCAAGCTCCTAGATCTAATCCAAATCCCTTCTCTGCCGCATGGAGTGCTCGTGCCGCCGTATGGAGTGCGTCCTCCGCCGCATGGGGAGAAAGATGTTCAGGCGATATGCTAATAGTAAAGAAATGGGATGGGTATGGGTGGGCAGTGAAATTAAAATTAGAATGACAAAGGGCATTTTTTAATAATTTAGTTGCCATTTATGTAAACGGGAAGAAAGATATTGGACGGTCCGAAAAGGAAAACTGGAAGAAAGATACAGGACAGAGGGAGTATTTTTAAAGCCCTAGGAACAAACTTACATTTCCCTTTGTTGTGGCAGAGAGTTGACGGGTCCAAATGTTGGAAAGATTAATTGAACCATCTCTTAAAGACATGGCTAGACCCATTGATGCAGTGCTGTGTTGTGATAAGTGGCTGAGAAGACAATAAATGAATTAATGACATACAAGAAATAAAGAAATCAAGACTACAAGCTACACAAGAAAAGAGAACTCATGATACCGTGATGTTCGTACACCTATCAGTGCCCGCGTACCCACAGAGCCCATGAACTCTAAGGAAGAAAATGAAGACATTTGATGACGAAAGACAATAGAAGCGTCACCAGCTCCTGCATTTCCATTAACTGCTAAATTCCCACCTATACCAATTGCATTGTTTTTGGATAGCCGAGAGTGAGCTTCACTTTCCATAGCCATTCTGACAGTTATTTGGAAGAGAGAAAGATGAACATGGTGAGAGTCTTAAAAACACGCAGGCAGGATTCTTAAAAAGTCAAGGATTATGTCTATCTTCAAATCAGAAAACTTTTTAAGAGTAGCCATTATAAAACAATATGAAACTTCTATACTTCTATATGTACAGTAAGAAAAATGATAATTGAGACGAAGAAGCTCCATTGGAGTATGGTCATAAATTGGGACCAGCATGTAAGAGTCTTTTGAGCATAAGCTAAATTACACTGGAGTCCTTCAACTTTAAAAATTCCACAAATAACCCTTCATTCATGTCAGCATTGCACAAATAGTCCTTCCGTTAACTTTGACGTAAATCCATGTATTTTTTTCCATTTTCCATTATAAATACATGTGAGAAACCCTCTTTTTTCATACAATTAAGCCATATTTCATGTAGGTCCATTTATTTAATAATAAGAAGCTACTCTTTTATTACTCCAATTTTTTTAATAATAATAAATTACTCTTGCTTTTATTGGTCTACTTTTTTTAATTACTCACTCCGTCCTAAAGTATGTGTCAAATTTTGACTTTTCATAAAAACGGAGGGAGTATTTTTCTCCAATACAATATTAATTGAAATTTTATGTCAAAGATTAACCTTGATTGATTTCAAAAAGTCAAAACTTGAGAAACACATTAGTATCATGCTTAATCTTTAACGTATAATTTCAATTAAAATTGAATTGGGAAAACAAACTCACTCTTTTTTTTCTCTAAAGTCAAAATTTGACATAGTTTAGAAAGAAGTGAGTATTTAAAAAAATTTAGACCAATAAAAGCAAGAGTAACTTATTACTCCCTCCGTCCCAGAGTATTTGTCCACTTTCATTTTTACACACCATCCAATACTTTTTTAATACATTTTATCTTGTAATTTGTATATTAAAAAACTATAGAAATTATATATTAATAATCTATATGTTAAGACAAATCAAACAAGATCACACATGACTATATTTAGGCTTACACATTGAGAGAATTTGATGAGTCAAAGTGCTTAGATGAACAGTTCCAAAAGTCAAAAGTGGACGAATATAGCGGGACGAAGGTAGTATTTAAAAAAATTGGACAAATAAAAGTAAGAGTAACTTACTATTAATAAAAATGGACCTACATGAAATATGGCTTAATTGTATGAAAAAAGAGGATTTCTCACATGTAATACACTAGAAAATGAAAAAAAAATTAACAGCAAAGTTAACGGAAAGACCAACTGTGCAAAGCGGTGACGTGACTTGAAGAACTATCTGTGAATTCTTTTAGAGTTGAAGGACTAACCATGCATAATACATTAACTTGAAGGACTAACTATGCAATTTAGCCCTTAGGCACATATTAACCACCAAAAATAGATGTTGATGAGGAATTAAAATTTACAAAAAACTAGTATAACAAAAAACTAGTATAATCCAAACTCCATTAGGGTCTTTGAGAGGGGGTCATAATGTGTACATCCTAATTCCTCTCTAAAAAAAGAGATTTTTCCGCTAGACTCTTGATGCATTACTACATTTACTGTCCAAAACTTCATAGAAAGTAAGAAGCAAGGGAAATTTAATGTGTCATTTAAATTAAGTACGTTATTTATCCAAAGCTGAAAAATTTTCAAAAAATGACTCTTTTAGCTTCATTGCAATGAAGTAATGAACATCTTAAGAAGGAATCAAAATAGAGAAGCAATACTTTTTTTGAACACAATAGAGGCAATAATGATATTATAAGTTATATGAAAGATCTCTTGCAAGTACACCTCCGCACATTCCCATCATCAACATATCAACTGCTTGCATAGATTCTTTAAAAAATGGACAAGAGAAGATTGATGTACCTACCCTTTCATGATGCCTTCACCCTCTAAAAACTGTGGCAATGACAATTGAGCTACAATTGTACCAGCAGAACAAACATGAGCAACCTTTTCGAGCTCCTTCTCACGTCGTAGTCTTTCTAGTTCTTCCTTAATCTCATCTGCTTTGTTCAGCTTTGGACCTAGTTCCAAACCAGCGGCCAATCCTTCCATACCATATATATCATATATCTGCCGCTTAGTTTCATCGCACAAAATCTCGTATGCTTCACATATCCGGGGAAAATTCTCTGTTGCGATGTCCTTCATCTGTAACATGAGTTAATACCAGTTACTAAGGGTAACTTGAGTAATGGTACGATTTCCTAGAAGGAAGTTGATAAAAACAAAAGATGAAAACAAATGAAATTGCTTACTTGTACTATTTCATTTATTTGAAATTAGAGTGATCCTAAAATTTTGAGGATGGCTTTTTCTTGTTATCCAAAAGCAAATCACGCTCCTAGAGATGACAATACACATTTTCAGGCAATATTTTATGTCTTTTCACTTTCTTTGTCTAGTCCTCCATTTTCTTCCTATACCCCCAAACCCCTTTTTTATCTCTGCATTTACTCCATCAGAACTTATCCAAAACTAGCTAAACAATTACTCCCTCCGTCCCTAAATGATTTGCACACTTTACTATTCAAATATCGCGGAAACTTTTGTTCATTTGTGTGTTTTTATTGACTATTTGATGAAATAAAATATTCTTGTCACCTCTTGTTTTGTAGAACTTTTGATGTACTTTTTAAATATGTAAGTTTTACTTTTATTGATATACCAATCATTAAATAAAATGAATTGAAAAAACTTGGAACTTTACTTCGTTTTGCGTAAAGAGTAAATGATTTAGGGGCAGAGGGAGTACAATGTCTGTCTCCTTCAGAACCACAACTGGTATCTCTTTCCTGCCAATGTAGAAAATCTCAGTCCTTTAGCAGCTTTGAGTTTGATTCATTAAAAATCATTGCGACTATGAAGTACTGGACTAAATCAAAACGGCACATTTAACTTCCCTTGCTGCTTACTTTTTATGAAGTTTTGAATAATAAATGCACCAACACATATCAAGAGTTAAAATTTATAAGACAGTAAGACACACACACAAACACACATATACATACATACATACATACATACATATATATATATATGTAGGTATGTATGTCGCCTAGGCGTGCGCCTAATCGCCTAGGCAATATGAAGGTACATTCGCGCCTCGCCTCGCCTTGCCGCCTTACAAACTATTGAGGGATTTGCTAGGGTAGAATGATTTGTGCTATGACACTATTATAAGCACAGTTTGAATATGTCACTCAACCATAATGGGGCACCTTCCTGAAAGAGTTCCAACAACAACAACAGGCCAGTAGAATCCCACAAAAGTAGGGTCTAGGGAAGGTGTGTGTATGCAGACCTATCCCTACTTGAAAGTAGAGAGGTTGTTTCCAAGAGAACCCGGCTCGAGCAACACAGAAAGCATATAGCACGGAGAGAAACAAAAAGCAAACTAAGATTTAAAAAAATGCTAGAGAGACTCTACCTAGTCAAAGTCTATGTAAATAGACTTGCAATTACGACATGAGCAACAAAGCTAATGCCCCTATTTATACTACTCACAATATTCTTCATGAGAAAGTAAATAGAGTTTTAATATACTACTCCCTCCATCCCACAATGATCATCCGACTTTCTTTTTTTGGATGTCCAAAAATTGATCTTCCCGTTACTTTTGTTGGCATCTTGTTTATTTCTTTTTTGATAAAGATACTTTTACCCTCACCTATCTGCACATTTACTATCTTTTACTTCACTTTTACTCAATATAAAAACGTAGAAAGGAGCATTTAAACCATTTTCTTTTGCTTTTTAATCTTTGTGCAATTTCCACGTGAGAAGATCAATTTATGGAGGGAGCAGAATATTGTTATTAGAAACAACAATAACCCAGTAGAATCTCAACTCCGTTAGGGTCTAGGGATCAAGATGTAAGCGTGTCTTACCTCTATAATAATTAGATAGGTTGTTTGTGTTCGACCAGTGATGCATCGCCGCAGTTACCACCCAACACTTCATAAAAAGAAAGAGCGGTATCAAAGCTAAAACATATTAACTAAAAAATACCAGTACTGATAGAAATGACGCAAGAGCGGTTTCTAATATACATCTGAATTATTAAGAACTCCCTCTACCATAAAATCTTGAGGTTCCATGAAAACTTGTGCCAAACTTAATTCAATGATTTCTCTTGAAATATAAAACCAATATTATAATAAATTGAATTGAAAATAAGTTCAATCAACAATCGCAAGCCAAACTATGTCTTTTATTTTGTGACAAATATAGTAAAATTTATGCCTTCGTGTTTCGAGAGAAAGTAATGGTCAAAGTCTGGCACGACTTTATGTATTTCTTTAATTTAAGTATTTAATAAAATCCCTTTCTTTAAGTAACTAGTAGACCAAAATATGCACATATGCACACCAAGATATAAATTTCAATCTAACTAGGATTGACGCTTCCATTGTAGCCTTAGTATAAATGAAGTTATAAACTAGAATCGTAACAACCCCTTTGTGAAAGTCCAGTATGAAAGGGAGAAAAAAAGGAGTGGAGCGAGCTAGGTGCACTTGTTACCTTTAATTAGAGTTTTGATGTTGTTTTTATTATTGTCACTTTTAAATCCCATAAAGTATGGTAGTTTTGGATATCTTTCTCTGTAGCCACTGGCAATTAATACTCCATATGTCCCACTATTTTTGGGACATAAAGGAGTCACACAGAAATTAAGAAAAATAAGATTGTGTGATTGATATTGATATTAAAAGTAAGAAAAAGTAAGATAATGTAACAATAACTATGAACTACATAAATATGACTAAATATGGTCTGAGGCAAAAAATGTGAGATTGACAAAAAAAGATAGAAAATGACAATGATAGAGGAACGGAGGGAGGAATAACTATCATTATGAATCTCTATCAGTTCTTCAACCGTCGGAATTTATTGGGAAGGTTCTTCATTGTAGCCACAGTTTGGTATCATGCAAGGACAAAACATAACACCTTTCGCCTCTGACAAACTGGTCGTGCAACTCTAGGAATTCATGGCATCAACTCTTTCCAAGTAATCGATGCTATAAGACATTACACACAATTGAATGAAGATGTTACCTTCCTAGCACAAGAAGACAGTGGTCAGGCTCAATCTAAGATCACATCGGAAAAGGAACGGAATACTCCAGCAAAGCCCACAGCGACTTCCACAAAACAGGAGAGTTCCACATGGACCCAAAGGGGTTCTATGGGCCCAGTATGCCAATGTGGAATTCCTGACATGCGACTGCACCAACCCAATCAGCAGCCCAAAGCATTGCAATTTAATTATCCAACTGGGGATCTCTAGCAACGGCCAAATTGACATGGTCTCATTCCACACGTTAAACAAGAGTTCTTGTTTGACCAAATGGAGGAAGAGAAAATGATGAACTGGGATCATTTTAAAAAACTATGAAGCATGTACTAAGTGTTTCAGGCTGCCCATAAATATGGGTCAAGTGGGAGACTTGGAAAGTATCCAGGAATGGTGGAGAACTATTATACTCAATATCAGAAGGCCTTTGCACGGACAACAGGTGTCGACGTGTCGTACCGCAGCATCAAATAGCATTGTTTATTGCGGGCCTTACCAAACCTTGCGCGTACACACCCCCATTTGGCCAAACCTCAAAACCTTGGCTTCACTATGAACCAGGCTCGGACATTAGCCAGCAAGGTGACCAGTGCACATTTGCAAATACTAAGACACCACCCGCAGAGTCACAACAAACAACAAAGGATGAGAGCCCAATCCGCAACCCACACTCACTAAGGCGGGGAATCCCTTGTGTGCAGATTGAATAATGATGAGATGGTGAGCAAGCTAGGCAAGGGACTGTGCTATAACTGCGACAAGCAGTGGAGTGGTGGACGATGCCCCACGAGTGCAAAAGACTTCTTCTCGTGGAGGTCTAGGAAGAGGAGGATACAGAAGAAGACCCCCTGGATCTTGAGTTGTCCCTAAATGCCATTGCTCATGGGACCCATTTTACCATGCAAGTCTGGATCCAAGTGACAGGAACCAGTCTCAGTCACAATGGATTTTTAATCCTAGCAAAGGTGTTATGACCTCGATGTGATTGGATTTAATTAGGAATTTTGTTAAGTCCACTGATTATTGTATACTCCATAATGTATATTTAAAAGCCTTCTAATATTATTATGATAATTATTGAACTAAAAATTGAGGCTTACATCTCATCACAGAATGAGGCATAGGCAATATGCAAATCATTGCAACTGCCTCAACTATGCAATACACAACTGCAACATTGGAATTAATAACATCAAAGCAAGCTATAATGTAAAGTAACTGGTGTACTTCTTCAGGGGAATAACAATTACAAGGGAAATTTTATGGAGAGATAGGAAATACATAATTTTCACATAACTCATAGTGATCTTATGGCTTTGATACCAAATGATAGAACCCAAGATAGGTATGGAGAATTAAGAAAGGAGAATCTCAATTAAATTATGAAATCGGGATCTAGCTCCATAAAATAATAAAGATGAAAAAAAATCTTTAGCAGAATATGTGTAAAAATCACAAACTTATATAACTAACAAAGCCTAAAGAGAATATTCAATCATAAATTCAAAGATTGAATTACTTTCCAAATGATTTTAACTTATAATAACTCAATATTTACATACAAAAATAATAATGACTCCCTAAATTTTAGGCCCACTAACAATGAGTCCCTAAAGTTTAGGTCCCCTCCAACAATGAATCCCTAAAGTTTAGGTCCACTAACACTGAGGAATCGCCCAACCTTAGCAAATTTAATTAAAAATAATAATAAAGCGGAGGGGGCAAGAACAAAGATGAAATGGGTAAGAAAGAAAATGACTCTGGTACCAGATTATTATGAACATAGGAACAAACGTAAAAATAAGGTATTGATCCTTCTTTCCTCATGGCTGGAAGGAGGGATGAGTAGCCAGTGACTAGCTTCTCATATTTAGAGATTGAGTTATCTGCATAAATTGTGTCCTTGGTCTTCCATAAGTAGGTAAACAGTCCCCAAACTTTCAAAAGTTATGAAATAATCTATGTGCTCAAAGAACCATTGCATAATTAGTCCCTCTGTTAGGAAAAATGTGAAGCGTGCATAACATGAGCCTATTATGCGAAGATGGGAAGAATGTAATAAAAAAACTTAA